TTCGAAAGCACTTAAAAATGCAAGTAGAAAAATAGGAACCATCTTTGGTGGGAAGGTAACAGCGTTCCATGCACCTTCGGCATTGAGTCATGCTGGCCACATGACCACGGAGACGTCTTCGGACAGCACAGGCTCTTCGGCTTTGAAATGGAGATGAGCGCCGCCCCCTAGAGTTCGGGAATGACTAGCACATATGTGTGAGGGGAAGCTTTATATTTGATTAGTTTGCCAAACAAATTTTGTTCTTCCAAACTCAAAATATATTACATCTCCAGCATTCCCATAGTCTACTAAACAAGTTATCTCATTTGAAAAAAAAATAGCCTAGCCAGATCTTTTCTTGATAAATTCATACCATATGTTGATAACCATTACCAGATTGTTAATCTGTCATTTAACGAATAATGATTAAAAAGAAGCAATAGGGTAAAATTTCAAGGAAGGAGGAGAAGCTGCCAACCAGAGATGAGGTTGCAACAGGAAGTGGACTGTGGACCTATTTCCTTCCTTGGAGGTCTTGCCCTGAGCAGAGACTATCTGAGGCTATTTAGTCCAGCTCTCTGCTCAGGGCACAACCTTATTTAGGTCTTGCCCTGAGTGGAGAGCTGGACTAGATGGCCTCAAGAGACCCCTTTCCAACTCTAAGGGTCAATAGCCTGAATTGTAGCTGGCAAGCACTTGGCTGTGACTGTCAAGATCTTGGCTGCAACTCCCAGAATGTCCTCTAGATGGCAGCACAGACTTCCATTTTTCCTCTCGTTTTGTCGCCCCCTATCGATCCTTCCTGGTTTTGCACCCAGGAAATTCTACTTCGGCCAAGAATGGGGGGCTTTGTTTCCATAACCTCCCTGCCAAGCTGAAGCAAACGCAAGTGATACAAATGAGTTATAAACAAGCCCCCTCCCCATTCCAAACCCTCCCCTTGCCCACTTTCCAGATTAAGGAGACATATCCCTTTAAGAGCTCGAAGGGAGGGGCGCGGCCAAAGGGGCCAAACGAATCCGGAGAGAGATAGAGACGGACCCTGGTGGGTTTATGTCAGCCTTCACGCGCATGCGTCGCATTTTCTCGTCAACCTTTCCTTGCGCATGCGTCTGTTTTTTTATCCCCTCCCCCTTCAGGGGAAGACGGCCGGCTGGGACAACCCCCTCCCCCCCAGCTTTCCCTAGGCGCATGCGCGCTTCTGGGGCGGATGGTGGGGAGAAAAGCGGGCAAAGTCCAGACGGGTAAAAGGCGCCGCGGCGGCCATCGCGCATGCGCTCCGGAGCGCTTGCTGGCGGTGCTAAGCGCCGGTCTCGCCGGCCGCCTTTTCTGCGCAGGCGCCGCGGGCCGGCGAGCCTCGGGATTGGCTGGCAGCGGCCTCGTCACGTGACGGCAGCGGCTCTTCCCCCTTTCTCTGCACCCTCCCTCCCTCCCTCCCCTCCCTCCACCTGTCCCCGGCGCGTTGGACGCTGGAAGCCAAGATGGCGGCGGAGCTGGTGGAGGCGAAAGTGAGTGAGTGAAAAGAGGCGGAAGGGACCGGGAAGGAAGCGGGGAGCGGGCCGAAGAAAGGGCGCCTTCCCTTCGCCCCCGGGGGACGTTGTGGGGGAGGGGGAAAAAGCCCGCTGCGTCTTTCTGTCAGAGCCCCCCCACAGGGGAGGGTCGGGGGCGTGGCCAAAGGGGAGGGGACCTCCTCCCGGGCGCCGCAGGCTCTGCCCTCTGACCCCGAGGGAGCCTCCGCTGACCCCTTACCCCCTCCCCGATCTCCATCCCCCCACCCCCGGCATCCTGCTCCTCCGGTCACCGACCCATGGCAGGACCCTCCCCACTTTCCCAAAGGGAAGGGGGGGTTCACCCAATGCAGCCCTCCCTCATCCCCTCCGAGGGCGCTCAGGGGGTCCCTGGGAGTCAAGTGGGGAAGGGTCTCTGGGCAAGTCCGAGGATCGAAGGAGCGGGGTCCTGGTCCACCTCTAGGGGACAAAGCCTGGGTTGTCAGGGGAGGGAGAGGGCTGCCCAGCCCTATGAGGATGGAGCAGAAGGTCCCAGGAGGGGGACCCTCAGGAGATGACTTGGGGGTCAGGTGCCTCAACTAAGCTCTGGCGTTGTATCTGCAGTTGTGTGTGTGTGTGTATACACACATACACATATATCTGTGCCTATGTATATAGGTATGCATATATGTGCGTGTGTGTGTGTGTGTATATATCACCCTCACTTTAGACATTGTCTGTCTACTG